ATCCCCCCTCATATGCGCAGTGACGCAAAATTGCCCATGGGCAACTTGGCATGCCACTGAGCTTATTGATTAGTTCTTTGCCCTACACAGGGGTGCAACAGCTGCGCCAATTTAATTAAATTCCTCATTCTTGCTCCGAGCTGCACCAAAGGGGTGAAATTCGCTGAAATTGCACCAGGCTGTGCCAAAATGCCTGACCAGCCTCGGAGTTTTCTCAGTTCCGCTAATTTCAGCGAGAAACAGCGGCCACGTTGGCTATTCTCTTGCAGTTTGCGTTATCAATCAATCGAAGCGCGCATACCCTAACCCTAAACCATGGTGTAAGATATATCCCCATTAGGTCAGGGCACTCGCGACATGCGATCGACTAGATAAAGTAAGAAAGCTGCGTGCCATTGGTTCGCTGACCACTGTGAATACTTATCAGCGGGACGACGCAACTTGAAAATTAAAAAAGTGTTACTGTAGCCACCAATGCTTTGCGGGAAATATGAACTTGCTGGTCAGCAAACGTGGCTATGGCGTGTTAGCAACTAAAGCTGGAAGCGTATGCCACGTTTCCCGCGCACGAACAGACTCGACGTGCTGAGAAAATCGGCGTTGACGGCGACGACATTAGTTGTGATAGCAATAGCACATCATTTTTCTGTCTCAAAGTTGCATCACCCTTGCGATTGATATCCGGTGCCGTTGCCGGGCCAACAAGCGTGCACAGTTGTTACTTTATCTCATAGCACGCACCTTGCAAGCGAGACAAGTTGTGCCCTAGACCTAATCCCATCATGAAAAAAAAATAAAAAACAGGGAGAGAGGGGCGTAGCGGTGTTTCATGACTTGTTCTAACTTGTGCAGAATGCTGTGTAATCCACCTTTGCCGCAGTACACTGATGCCCTGCGAAAAGGTGCGCTTTGATATTGAAGGGGCTGTTAGCACTGATCACGGGACACAGCACATTTTGTTTCCACTCATGCGTGTATATAGCGTATAATTGTGAATACTAGTAGGATGGATTACGTCTGAAAAAGTTACTGGCAATTATTTAGAGCAGTGTACAACATTTTTGGCACCCTTTAAAAACTGTGCCAGTTTTTATTTTTTTCGCCACCCCTACGAATCGCTGAATTTCAAGCTTGCCAGCTTGGCAGATCCACTTTTGAATTCGCAGAGTCAGACGCGGCAAATGCTAATGTGGACATTATCATTATTTGCTCAGTGAGGTGGTTCATAATGCTAATTTTATTGCAGTAGCAGTGCTCTTACTCACACTGCACGATTTAGGGCATGTTAAATGATTTGTACATATTTTTTTCTAAATGTAAGACTTTTGTTCCATACTGCTTCAAATTCGGTTTTTCGTGATGAAAAATGAATGTTTTGTTCGCCGTAACCTGCTTCAACTTTGTATTTTTGTGCTTCAAAAGCAACATTTCGCGGCTCCAAAAATTGCTTCAAATTCTATTTTGGCTGTTGCACCCCTGCCTACAAAACAGCGCTTTGGCCCTGCGGTGATGCAGTTTTGGCTATGCAGTCTGCATCTTAATTTTCTTGTGCAATTTTCTGCCATTTTGTACAGCCCGAGACTACCGGGAGAAGCAGTATTGCCAGAACAAAAGCCGCCTATATGAAGAAGCGTGTTGTTACTTTGCTACTAGGGAAGGGTGCTCCTCAAACCACGCTTCCTCCCCGCACCACTGTGACAAGTGTTCATGTCAGGGATGACCTACTTGGTTGTTGGCTGCGCGCTGATGGCATATCACTGACGTTGCGTCATGTTGCTAAAAAGGGCAGACTCATGACGACGCGTTACGACTTTCCTCTCCCTATTGCAGGGAAGAGTGGCCAGGACATGCGAGAATTTGAAACCAGCTGAAATGGATGTGACTTTTTTATTACAGCATATGTTCGCAAAATTCTTGGGGCAGCATGTCCTCACAGTAAAAGTGTGAATGTTTCTTTTCGCAACAATATTAGAACCTCAGGGTTGTTTACTGGCCCTTTAAGAAAGAATCTGATAAGCACTACATGCCTAATGCAAAGAATAGGCAGTCAATTCAGTATGTGAAATTGCCTGGCTAGATTCAGCTTCAATACCTTTTTTTCTTTCATCCTGCGAAGTTCGTAACATAAGCTTCTGGTCAGAGTTAACAGCTGGCAGATATTTTGTGCTCTTCATGCACTCAGTTTTGGTATTGCCTTGATTGGGGCCTATAATTTCGACAAACAATAACTAATTACATGTGTTATTTGCGATTTTGAAAATAAAATAGGCATGACATAAATTATCACGTCCTACAAGCCTTCCTCATAGACAACAGCCCTCAAGTTAATAATAATGTTTTTGTTGATTACTCATTTGAGTGTAACATTAGCTGTGGCAAAGTTTTTCCACCTTGGAATATAGTTTGTCTGCGAACATCGCAGGGGCCTGTCATACCATTTTTATTCGAGATCTTTGTCACTCTGTATATACGCCACGGCTGTGCACCGTCAGAAAATGCCTTCAATGTGTGGTTGGAAACAAAGAAAACGCAAAACAGCGCCGTTTTTTCTGTGCGAGTCTTACATATACATTGAGGCGAATCCGTAAAAATAGTTGGCTCTGCCACCATGCCGACTGCTGTGTTTCCTGTCATAACTTCAGAATGCTTCATTGTGTTGGGATCATTATCTTGCTACCAAAATGGGTACCGACCAGCAACCCCAAGGAGGGGGGGGGGGGGGGGACTACTTGGTATTGTCCCAAGAGAATCTCTGTCCGTCGACCTTATGGCCATAGGCATTTGATCCCAGAAGGGAGCGGCAGGATGTCACTGCAATGTTATCACCACTGTGTACTAGTGCAAGGTGTAGTGTACACGTATTCGAAGAAGTACGACCACTAGCGGGGGTTTGGTCTTAGCGGCTCGTTAACAGTTGCCGAGCGCAGCATGGTAAGTACACAGTACTGCTCTCAACAGGTCGCAGCACTTTATTGCCTGCGGCAACCCCGAAACACAGTACAGGGCCCGTTGCACAAGGGGCGGCAGTAAAGCTAATAGGCTTATCCACACCACAGGCGAAAAGTACTACACAGGGTGCCGCGAGCACGTCTCCGTGGGCGAAAGAGATTTATGGTGACACAGGGCCGGGTCGCTCGAGTGAGGGCAAAATCTGCTCGCATTGGCTTCGAGAGGTACAGGTCTGCGTAGTATGACCACACGAATAGACTCTGCACTGCTCTACGGCCTAGCGTTCGAAGGGGGCAACGATAAGTGAGCGTTCGCCGCAAACGCAAGGTGCCGTTGGCGAAGTCCAAGTGAGCCCCAAACAAAAGGAGCCGACGGACGGTAAAGAAATGCGTGCTCACCCTTCGTCGTCCCGGAGAGGTTCTCTCTCACTCCCGTTGCGCACGCAAAACGTTTCGAGAGACTCCGCGCACGGCGCCACAGTTGACATCTACTACCGGGTGAGAGTGGTTAAACGTCACATCTGCTCCCCCAGTGTGACAGACCGCGGAGGATGGGAGAATCATGTCAGGACATGAGAATGGCAGAAATAGGTGGCAAAGCCCACACAATTTCGGTGGGTTCCCACGAAGGTTCTGCAAGAGATCCAGAATTTTTGTGGCTTTTACAAAGAAAGTAAAGACTGTTATTTGTAGCACTTGTTAAAGTGCACTCTTATGATGCATTATTATTATTGTCATCCCCTCCTCCCACCTCACACAATGTTCAAGATGTGGGAACCGTTGATGTATTTGTGTAAATAAATACCTAAATATCTAAGCTCTTAGCAGGTACAATATTCTGAGAATGAAAAAAAAAAACATGTATGTTTAGGGCTAAGTGATGCACATACTTGCATGTATTTCCATCATCATCATTTCATATCATATTGGCATAATATAAATTTGATTACTTACATCATAGACATCTACTTGTGGTGGCCAGATTCCCAGTTAAGTGACATGGTTATCTGGAATGATTGTCATACTAGTCATGACATTTATGGTTTGATAACATGTTGCATTTCATCAGTGCTACACATATCAGCAAGGTTGAACTGTATGGTGTAGCATTCTGGGATTGGATATACAGTAATAATAGCTGAAATCCCAGAACCGCAATCTTATTATTAGGAACGCCGTAGTGTAGGGCTCTGGAAATTTGGGCCACCTGGTGTTCTTTGATGTGCACCTAATTCATGGGCTTCTAACATTCTCGCCTCCATTGAAAATGTAGACACTGCGGCCGGGGTTAGATCCGGCATCCTTCATATCGGCAGTCAAATACCATAACCACTGGAACTGCTGGGTAGGTCATTTTGGCATGGGGTTTTATGACTTTGTCAGGAAGTTTTTTGCTGTGTGCACCTAATTCATGGGCTTCTAACATTCTCGCCTCCATTGAAAATGTAGACACTGCGGCCGGGATTAGATCCTGCATCCTTCATATCGGCAGTCAAATACCATAACCACTGGAACTGCTGGGTAGGTCATTTTGGCATGGGGTTTTATGACTTTGTCAGGAAGTTTTTTGCTGTGCCAGTTCATTGGCGTTCATAATCACATGTTGGTACTTTCAGTCAGCTGACTAAAGTTAAACAGAATATTTTGAATGATATATTTTATGGCATGTTCTGTTACATGCGATTTGCTCACTCCCATTTCAAAGTAATAAAATAAGGAAGAAAATGCCAAGTTACGCAAGTGAATGCACCACTCATTACTCTGATATGGACACATGCTTCAGTGCACTATAAAGATAGAGTATGTTTTCATGCACTTGCTATAGATGTGCCATAGTTACGATACATGATTATTTTTCAAAAGTGATGTAGCTTGATCTAGTTTTCGAAATGCTACTGTTGCCTTAACTCGGAAGAAAAATTTTGAGAAGGAACCACTGTTACTAGCAGTGGTACTGTACAGCTTTTATAAGCTGTATACAGCTTATAATACAGCTTTTGTAAGCTGTACTGACAATATTTTGTATTGACTGCTTGTTTACTTTTCTTTCAGGGTGCTCTCTATACTGCTGACGAGCCTGTGGCCCACCTGATACTTTCAAGCGGAAACCGCAGTCTTTCTGTGCAGCTTGTGGACTTTCTGGGCAGGCTAGGCACCAATGTTCCAGATGGACTGGCGAGGCTTGCCCTTGAGGAACAAGCTGTGAGTTCTGATTGGTGTGATGTGCATATAGTGAATATGGTGTCAATTCAGGTAGCCGAGCTTCACTAGTTTAGCGCATTTAATTTTAATGTTCATGTTGTAGCACATCTCGCAGTTAATTTGCAGTGAATGAGTATCTTAAGTGGGATTTAAATAAAAGATAATCTCAATTTTAAGACTTGAAAAAATTAGACAAAATGTTGGGAATTAAGGAAGTGGAAAAACTTAGGGAATTCTTTCATGAAGAATTTGACATACTTGTTATGTTATGCAATTAATGATATGTTTTTCTATGTCCCTGTGAGTCTATTACCTGTGAGAGCACTTCGATAATTTCTGTCTTCATTGGAGGTAATATTTATTCTGTCAAAGCAGCACTGGTGGGGGGGGGGGGGTAACAGAACAGAAGTTACAAGAAGTCAAAATTTTAAAACACAGGCATTGTTTAGTTCAGACTCTTCTTGCCCTAACTGGTGAAGTTACTAGTCTTGTGGAGCAATATATTTCCTCAAAATCAAGTGAGCCTAAGCTAAAACTAGCACTTCTTCAATGATTCACTGAGGACTCTAGTTATCTCCTAGAGACAATATATCGACTTAGAGCAGCTGATTTTTTTTTTTTTTTTTGCACTAGACAGCTTTTTATAGATGCTTGCCGGCAAATTTTAAATACTGGCTACTCTTTGACTATTTTCACCACATAGTTTTCGCCATGTAAAAAGTGGAATAAAAGTGCCACCATAATGGGTGGCACTTAAAATGACCACTTTGTAGAAAACTAGTTTTGTTTAAGTTACTTATTGATTTTTGTTCGTGCTTATTTGCTTTTCATTTTCACGTAGTAATGACACATAAAAGAATAAATTCTAATGTAAACATTCGACAGATGTCTGTCTGGTTGAGTATGTAAACTGAGAAACGATTTTAACTCCTACTAAGAAGCACGTGAAAATTTGGAAACTTGACGTTTCGGAGCCGATTTGGTTCTTTCTTCAGGGTGGACTGGGGCTACATTGCAGCGGAGTCTTCAAAGCACTTGCAGGGCTATTAATGACCCTCTCTCTCCTGTTTGCCACGCAGTGTTGTCCGTGTGCATACACCGGGGGGATGGGTTCCGAGAGAACAGTTGATGTTTTAGGCCATTTGCTGTATTTGCCATGACTCAAGTAACCTTCTCCTCCAGTTAGTCTCATTTTCAGGATGGTCATTGTGTCGAAATTTATCCTCTCAGAATGCTCAGGGACGGCGCTGCGCTCTTTGTAGAGCTTCCGGGCGTCAATGGCGTGTTGTTTGAGTCGTTCTGGTAGGTTTTTTGTCTCTCCGATATACAACGAAGGGCACTAGGGGTCCGCGGCGCACCGGGGGTCCTGCCCATTGCTGGCCAGTCTTCCGGGGAGGGACGGGGGGCGCGTGCGCGATGCAAACCCCTTCTTTTTTGAAGACCCGCATAAACATCTCGCTCGTTCTTTGGACGTATGGGACTGGTATGCGTTTCGGAGGGCTGTTAATTAATGCCGATTGGGGTTTCGGTATCCTCCGTTGCTCTGCGCGGTGTGTGACAGCTCATATGAAGTTTGTTGGTATTTGTTTTTCTGGGGTCCGCAATTACACGGGCCTCTTCTTTCTTTCACTCCGTGTCATTGGAGCACATGTTCTTGGCTCTCTGGAGTAACGTGGTCATACCGAGGCCTTGTGGCAGGCGGGATGAGATGAATCATATTGAAGGTAGTGGCCGGTGAGCGTTGGCTTCCTGTGAACGGAGAACTCTAAGCCGTTGCGCTTTCTTGCCACCTAGACGTCGAGAAAGGGCAGGCTGCGGTTGCTTTCACACTCGGCAGTGAGTGGTATGGCTGGGTGCACGGAATTAAAATGCTGTCTGAAGTTTTCAATTTCAGACGTCTTCATGGCGCAAAAGCAATCATCTATATAACGAGGAAAGAGCTTGCGTCGCGGAGATGGAAGCTCTGATCAGGATTCCACTGTTCTGCCTGAAAATTGTTCTTTTGTAGGAGAAGTGCGTACTAGACAGGCAGAATTCCTGTAGATGGCAGAGCTCGCCAACAGCCAAAGAAGACCTTTCACTCAGGCTTGCGTCACCCTCGAGGGCAGCACGGGCAGAGGACGCAGCTAAAGGCACTGGCACATTGGTGAACAATGAAACGTCGCACGAGATCAGGCTCTCCTCATCGTCGATGCCCACCTCTGACGTTAGCTGCACGAAGTGGCTGGAGTCAGACATGAGTTAATGTTTTCCGGGTTAGGAAGCTGAAGATTCGGTGTAGAAAAATTCAAAGGGGCTCGGCATGGAGAGGAAGTGAAGTCTATAATTGGTCGGAAGGGGACGTCAGGCTTGTAAATTTTTGGTAGTCCATAGAAACTTTTTGCAGATCTGTTACGACTGATTAGTCACAGGTAAATTGTTCTTAGATTTGGGTAATGCTTCAAAATTTCTGTGAGTAGCTTATTTAGCTGTGTCTGGGTTTGCTTCATCGGGTTCTTTTCTAGCTTTGTGTATGCGTCCCCTTCTAAAGGAGCTGAAATCTACCGATCATAGTCCAGACTGTCCACTACCATCGCAGCTAGGAACGGCCCAAAACATCATTCGTTCCCTTGGAACCCTTCCCTTGGTGTATGCACATGGACTAAGCTCTCCAGAAAAACGGAAGGGGGGGTGGGGTCATTAACCGCTCCGCAAGTGCCTTGAAGAGGCCGCTACAACGTAGCCCCAGTCCCTATTGAGGAAGGAACTAAGTCGGTTCCGAAACGTCGTGTTTACGCATTTTCACGTACTTTTTAGTTGGAGTAGGATCATTTCCTAAAAAGAATAAAGAGTGCATTGCAAATTCAATTTGTTGGTTCAAGAGAACTGCTGAATATACTTTTATAAGTCATTGGTTGCATGGTCATGCAGTGATGTTGCCATTTATAGATCACTCAATGCATTCACTCATACTTGCCTAAAACGCTGTCTGTTGCAGAAAGCATCATCAAATCTCAATGTGGCCCTCTGCCCAAATCTGAAAGCATTCGGTCATTGTGAAAACCAGACAATGACTGGAGAGAAGGGCTGCTACTATCGCCATAAGGTCTTGCTTGCAGCAGATCATACTCGGGTATGGGAGGACCTGCCATCTCAGGGCCTAGTCCTCATTGTTGTAACCAAAGTGGTGAATGCGACATGCTTTTATGCTTGGATTCTTCAACACTGGGATACTTCATCTAATTCAACAAATGGTGAGATAAGCCAGAAATAGCACTTTATATTTTAAAAAATAGTAAGTTTCCCAAATGAATGAGATAATATAAGCTTTAGAAACAAATGGAAATTGTTATTTGTAATTGTGTGTATAGACTAGTGACAGCACTATACTGACGTGCTGTAACAGTTGATGTGACACTGGCTTCCAATTAGTGCCTCCTTTCTTGTCGATATTTGTTTGCTTCTTTATATTGTCCATAAGTGCCTGTTATTTCACATTTGAGTTCGCTGCTATAGGAAGGGGAAATTGCCGGGGCGTAGAGAAATTACATGGACTAGAACATTTACTATAATCCAGTATTTTGTGATATTATTACGGAGAGATGAAGTGAACAAAGATGAAGAGCCAAAAAGCTGACAGGCATGCAAATGTATTGGTCAGCCATCTTGAGTCTCGTCTGTTTCCTGTAAATACATCTTGTATATATGAAATTAACCCCGTATCATTATTGGTGGAGGTGTGGGATAGTGTTAAGAGCAGCAAGGTTTTGAGGAAGTTGTCGTATATCATGGAGTGTGTAGGGCTTTGTATAAGAAAGCATGTGGAGTATCCACATTTCATTGAAATTCAACTTTGTTTCATAGAATATCGCACTAGTCATTGCCAAAGTTGTATAGCGTATATTTTTTCTTTCTTTGATGCGATTCTCTTTAGTCTCTTTTTTAGCTGCATGCCTTCTATCCTTTAAACCTTCGGTGAAATGAATTTCGAGGGTTCGCGTTAAACTCTTGTCTCACTCAAAATTCATCTAAACGTACTGGAAATCACGAAAAAAAAATGATTTGCAATGGAAAAATTCTTAGAACAATATGCTGGGTGGCCAGGCAGTCTTTTGAAAGCTGGTCGTCTCTCATGCTACATCCCTTCGTGCACGCTGAGACTGGTTCAGTGTTCTTTACAGGAGGGCCAATGAGAGATCGCACAGCTTCATGATGTATCTGGCTGAAATTATTCTCCGCCCATTGCTTTACCTGCGCAGCTGCTGCCGCCGCTGTAGCTTGTGCGGTTGTGTGATCCTAAGCGGCACAGCATCCGGAACATTAAACTTTTTCTGTATTGTAAGCAGTGAATTTCAGCCGGGAATTTTTATGAATTCATATCGCACCAAAATTTGTACCAGCAGTGATTGTATCAGTACCAAGGTTTTCATACTTGCTAACCTTTCCAATTTGCCTGGAGAGAGAGAGAGAGAAAAGGAAAGAACATTTATTTGCACCCGTTGAGAATAATTAGGAAGAAGGCTTTGGCCTCTGCCCCCATACATCCCCCTAGCTCGGAAGACTCCTGAATTTTGAGCATTCATCTCTATTGTACAGAAAAGGTCATAAATCTTCTGAAAAAAAAAAAAAATGCTAGCACCACAGTGAAAAGAAAATAAACTAAGGACATTGGTTCTAGAATATCTGGTGACGTGCTTAGGACATTGTAAGGTAGTTTTGCCTCAATAAACGGGCGTTTCGTGAAAAAAGGTCCATCAAAGTTGACAAGGATGTATTAGCTGACATGGGCAGTGACAATCATGCGTTTATGGGGGTGGTGGTGGTGGTGAAAACATTTAATAACCATTAAATGGTTACAGAGAGGTGATTGAGTTGGGGCCTTATTGGCCTCCTACCCTCACAGCACTAGGTGGAACCCCCATTCCGGGGCTCCATTGGCAAGCAACGCTGCCCGCACCCGTTGAACCAGAGCCTCTTGGGCCTTCAGGTCTTGACAGCCGAGCAGGGCCGCCTCCCAGTCCTCTCTCGTGGGATTGGGGTTGGGGGGGATAGATGGATTAGACTGGCACGCCCAGACGATGTGAAAGGTGTCAGCCACCTCACCACAGAACTGGCACGTGCCATCAAAGGATGAATTGAAATGTTTTAGCACCGCCGGGCACAGTACAGTATTGGTAAACAGTTTTAAAAGGAGGCGCTCGTCAGCACGATGCAGTCCCTTACAAGAGTCTGGATAGCGCCGGTGCTCCTCCTTGTAGTAATTGGTAATATCTTTGAATGAAAGGGCCGAATTGTCTGATTGCGAGTAGGCTTCCAAAGACAAGGAGGTAGCCCGGGAAGAGAGTGCGCGGGCGGCCTGATCGGCCTGTTCGTTACCCCTGAGTCCTTGGTGACCGGGTGCCCAAACCAGATTTCGCGGAGTTGGATTAACGTATCAGCAGCTAGGTTCCAGTATGCGCTGAGCAAGCGGTGAAGCTCACCCTAGCTGATAGTTCCGACAGGCCCCTCGTGAGTCGGTGATGATATGTTTAGAAGAGGGATAGGTGAGAGCCAGAGTGATGGCAATCTCCTCCGCGTGTGTTGCGCTGTAGGCTTTGAAAGTGAGCCCGTTTACGGTGTTTGCGTTGTGTATGACTGCGGCAGTATACCACCCCCCATGGTGCGGGCCGGCAACGTCCACGTAGCACACGTGTTCCTCTTGACCAAAGTGTCGCTGCAACGCTTCCGCTCGCGCCTGGCGGCGACCACTGTGGTTTTCTTTGGACATGTTGCGGGGAAGGGGTCGGATCCGGAGGGCGCGTCTCCAAGGTTCTGGCACTCTCACCCTTTCCTCAATATAGTAATCGTGTTTGATGTGTATTCGGTCCAAGAGGCGGCGACCGGAATGGGTCTGTGCAAGGCGCGTGTATTGGTTAACGAGGTGGGCTTCTCGAAGTTCCCGGTAGGTATTCACCACGCCTAGGGCCAGAAGTCTCTGGTTGGACGTGGTGATAGGGAGGTCGAGAGCCCGCTTGATAACTTTACGGTGGATGACCTCGAGTTGATCATCCTCGTGTTTGCGTAGGTGCAAGTAGGGAGTTGAGTAGAGTATTCTACTCGTTACGAAAGCATGGGCAAGCCGCATTGCATCCCTGCTTCGTAATCCGCCCCGCTTGTTGGAGACCCGGCGGACCATACGGCCCACCTGGTCTCCCACCGTGCGAAGTTTGGCTATTGTGGTGTCGGCCTTGCGTTGGTGGTGTATGAAGAGGCCAAGGACGCGGATCTCCTTGGCCTCACGGATCTGTCCTGAGGGAAGACTGATATGGAGCTGAGTTGTGTCCTGAGGGGAGGGACGTACGTGCACAAATTCTGACTTAGCCGGGGCACACTGGAGTCCGCAGTAGGTTGCGTAGTCGTCGACTACAGTCGCTGCTGCTTGCAGGCATGACTCCATGTGGCCCAGGTTACCTTGCGTGGCCCAGATCGTGATATCATCCGCGTAAAGAGCGTGATGTATCCCTGGTAAAGAAGCCAATTTGGGGGGAAGATGAAGCATGGCTATATTAAATAGGAGGGGAGAGAGGACCGCGCCTTGAGGAGTTCCCCTCGAGCCGATGACGTAAGGCCCATGTTTCTCATCTTGTATGCGTATGTAGGCTTGTCGGTCTGTAAGAAACTGTCTAACATAATTGAATGTTTTATAACCACAGTTGGTCTGACTGAGGTGGTCAAGGATTACCTCATGCTTCACGTTGTCGAATGCCCCTTTAAGATCCAAGGCCAGGACTACCTTGTCATTGTGGGGGCATTCAACAGGATCTAATATGTCATGGTGGAGCTGTAGAAGTATATCCTGGGCTGACTTCTGAGGGCGGAATCCAAACATGGTGTCCGCAAAAGTGTGCTGTGTTTCTAGAAACTCGGAGAGTCTGTCGCGCACCATCGTTTCCATCGGCTTGCTGACACAAGACGTGAGGGAGATGGGGCGAAGGTTCTCCACGTCAATAGGTTTACCTGCCTTCGGGATGAAGGTCACGAGAGCTGATTTCCATTCAAGAGGGAGAGGAGTTTCTCCGTCCTAAATGCTATTGATGTATTTGAGGAGCGTGGCGTAGGCTACGTCGGGAAGATTGGCCAACAGTTTGACCGTAACCTGGTCACGCCCTGGTGCAGTGCCACGCTTCATCTTGCGTAAGGCCGCCTGGAGGTCGTGGAGCTGGAACGGGGTGTCCAACTGCGTGTTCTTTTTGCTTGCGTAGGAGTATGCGGCCGTCCGGGGGTCCTTGGTGGTGCACAGGTATCGGTCCCTGAGCGTGTTTGCCAGCTGTGTTGTCGTTCCTGTAAAGTTGTGCATGACCTTATGTAAGTGACGTTGAGTTTCCGTGCGTGTTTGTGTTGGATCGATGAGAGCGCGAAACAGGCGCCACGTGTTGCAACCAGACATCTGGCTTGCAGCCGTGTTGCACCTGTCCACCCAGTTAGTGTCGGCTAGCTGAGCAGCATATTCCGCAGCTTGCTCCGTGAGTTCTAGGATGCGTTTCTTGAGGCGTCTGTTATGTTTCTGTTTTTTCCATCGTTTGGTGAGGCTGCGGCGGGCCTGCCAAAGATGGAGGTGGTGGTTGTCCATGTCCGTTTGAGTTTCCGTGAGCTGTATCAGCTGTTCGTGTTGTTTCAGTGTAGACATCAGTGATTTAGACCAGGTGTCGTATCCCGACTGGAGAGGGTCTACAATAGGTAGAGTGGTGCGGAAAGTTGTCCAGTCTGGGATATGAGCTTGTGTAAGTGGGCGTTTTAAGGGACGCATGTACACGGTTGTGTTTAATACACAATGATCACTACCGAGAGTGTCCTGTGTGTTCAGCCAGTCGGCATGGCGTATGTTGCGTGTAATTGTGAGGTCTGGGCAAGTATCTCGTTGAACAGAGTTGCCTACACGTGTTGGGCTGGCGGGATCAGTGTGGAGGGTGAGTCCAAGTGTAGAAAGAAGTTCCGCAACCTTCCTTCCACGCGTGTCCTCTCGTGGGTAACCCCATAACCTGCTTGGGGCATTGAAGTCGCCGACGATCAGGAGGGGGTCCCGTCCTGCCACCTGCATAGCTTGTGTGAAAGTTGCGCTGAACGTGACGTTCTTAAGCTTTGGGGGACAGTAAATGTTTAAAATATGAACAGGTGGGTCAGATCGCTTTATAGGCAGCACCGACACCATCGTGTATGGGAAAGGCGGTGTTGTGGGGAGTGTGACTTTCTGGGCGGTATATTGCTTGTGAACAAG